TTAATGCCCAACATGCAAATCCAACCTTTATGTTAGTTTCATAACATAAAATTTTCTCTCAATTTTGTTCATATTGATTAATACGTGCTAAGATATATTTGGTTTTGAAACCACCTGTGATTGTATTCTTCAATAAGCCTGGTTAAGCAAAACATCATTTAAGTATAATATATGAATCTATTATGTTCATGAAACCAACTCTGATGCCAAACTAGAAAGCAGGAGACTATGAAACAGAAGCCATCTGGATTACTTTCCCAGTCATGTCTCAACCCAGCCCAGTTCGCAGGGTTGTTGTGGGTAAAATAGGAGATGGAAGCATTAAGTATGTATGCTGCCTTAAACTGACATAAAATAAAGCCAGATTACATCAATCAATCCAAAAAATGTTTTATAACTCAATTCTCTTACTAGGTCTTCCTCCCGATTCTTTCTATGCTAAGTGATGATCAAAAATAATCAAATGTTTAGGCACACCTAGGCAGATTGTACATTTCAACGAATTCTTAAAAAAAAACAGCACCTGATATAGGCTCTACAAGGTACATGGTTCCAAACATTTCTGTAATCAGCTACAGGTATTTTCTATTTCTGTTCTTGCATTCATAACCACCTTTGATTTTAATTTCTTCTCTATCTGTGAGACATTAGCTTGTAGGGTGCACTGAATTTTACTTAAACCATTCTTCCATCTGCTTGCCCAATATTTCCCATGCCACTTATTTCCCCACTACCCCAAACATAATAGAGGCAACCCATATTTAATATTGGCATGGTGTTCTTTTCTTCAAATATTTCTTCCTTTTTTCTCCAAATTATGTTACGTAATTAAGGTCAAACACTTCAAATTTTGTTCCAACAAACATTGTTCCAAAATGTTTCAGGCATATCAAGGATTTCTTTGCATACTTTGGATCATCTTCAGAAAAAGTTCCTGCTGACAATTCTCTCTTACAGATAATTTTAACATAAGCAATCATGTACTGTGGATAAAAAAAAAATAGTCCTATTCATGCCAAAATTTACAGCAGGTTTTTGCACTGATCTGTAGGTTCTGTTTTGCAGATTTGACCAAACTGGGGGCAGTTCTAGCAGAGAATTTTCTGTCTTTCAGTCTCGCCCTTACTTCAGCAGTCCATGTAACTTCCATATTTTAACATGCTTCTGACCTTGGCAATTGGTCATGTGTGCATTTAGAGATTTTTTAAAAATAGTCTTTGTAATAGGGAATTAGCTTCATATTCCAATCTCAGGTAGCTCTTAGAGGAGGAGCCCATGGTTGTTGAAAGTAGAAAGAACAACTATTACAATCTCAGAGATTATAAAAGAGAGTATTTGTTCAGTAACTTTTCTTCCACCTAACTATAGATCTAATAAATCAACCATATTTGGGGACTTATTAACAACTTTACAATAAAAAAACAAAGATTGGATCAACTGAAATACTATTCAAATTTGTAAAAGAATGTAATGTTTACTTTGTATCATGTACAGCTTGTGTCAGCTTCTGTCAGGGATTCATTGAAATATACAATTGGACTAGGGATGCCTAAAGCTTTGTATGCAACTTCTGATAATAATAATTTCCTTTCTTCTGTACTCAGGATCCTATAACTAAAAATACAGCTTACTTTAAATATAGAAGATCCATTCAGCTATCATGCCCAAAACCTACTAAAATATTTATCATGAAATTGTTATTTCTTGTAACAATCACAATTCACGCATTTGACTGATCTGTTTATTTATTTATATGTCAAATTTGGAAACTGTAATATTACAAATGACCGAGAAAGTATATTCATATACAGAATAAGTATATAAATTCTTAATTGCCTTAATGGCTATTACTTGCTTACCCTCCAGTTTCTCCTCATGATCTCTTGCTAACCTTTTAAGTTTACTATCAAGTTTTACTTAGCATGTTGTGCTTTCCTGAAATTTCTAACTTGCTTTCATTTTAATGAAATAACAAACTAGGATTTCTCATGGATCGGATTTCAAAATGGGTTCCCATTTCTGTCCTACAATGTGGAACTCAAAATCATACTATTTTAAACATGAAATGGGCACCTGGTTTTGCTCTTTTTTTTCCTACTTAAAAGTAAAAGAGGGGTCCTGGTTTAGATTGCTATCCTAGTATGGAAAATTCAGGAGCTTTCACCATTTAGCCTTATTGTGATCCTGATCCATATGGTAATTTCTCCATTTGCAATTTGCATTGGGAGAAACAAATTCCATGACTCATCTTCAGTAGAGGTTTTTTTTAACGTAATTTGAAAATTCAGCTCTCTCTAATCTGAATTGGGATTACAGGAGGTGGGGGAAAATCATGTAAGCATTTTTCTCCCCATATACACACAAGAGTCTTGAAAACCAACAAGGTAGGGTAGTTAAAGTATTGAATCGGAACTTGAGCACCACTGGGTGATTTGGGGAACACTCTCTCTGCCCAACCTATCTCAGGGGATTGTTTCCAGTGAATAATTATTGGGAAATGTCAGATTTATACTGATGCCCATGAAAACATTGCTTTGATTAAATATCTCTGGAGAAGGCCCAGCATTGCCTCCTTGGTGTATTTTTCTGACCTTATGTAAATACTGCAAGAGACTAGAAAAAAGCATGGCTTTTTAGGAAGAGCCCAACAAATACCACGAGATTACCGTACCTGATTTGAATCTGAACATATTGCCTGCTACCATAACTCTACAATAACTTAAATTGAGATCAGGATCCATAGTCATCTATAATAGGTTTCTTCCCCCTTCCTTCCCTCCCCCCGCATGCTTTCTTTATCTTGATTCCAAACTAGTGAATGGACCAACAGAAAAGCTAAGTGGCTTATAGGTGTTAATTCATATAACAGTTTTGCTTTTAGGCAACAGTTGTTATTCTTAATGAGTCAATTCAATTGCCAATAGACTGATTGGTTTTGTTTTGTTTTAATTAGGACAGTGTTTCTCAACCTTGACAATTTTAAGGCATGTGGACTTCAACTCCCAGAATTCCACACCCAGCATTGCTGGTTGTGGAATTCTGGGAGTTGAAGACCACATGCCTTAAAATTGTCAAGGTTCAGAAACACTGAATTAGGAGAAACCTCTGCAAATAGACTAGAGAGGGGAGTAGTTTCAGTAATTCCCCTACTCTTGAATCTCTTCTCAATCCTTCCCAAAATTTATCGCAAAAAGTTGGGAGATCCTTTTGAAAAGCCTGAAAAGTTACAAAAAGAACAAAAGGAATGATGATGAAAGCTCCTATGAAACTCACTTTCAGTAAAATTTAAACCTTCTGAAATTACTAAAGAAACTTCCCTAAATGGCAACATATTGTAAGCTGCCCAGAGTTATTGACTGAGATAGGCGACTTTAGGAATTGATTGATTGATTGAATGAATGAATGAACATATACTTAAACCACTTCTGGGATTCCATAGCAAGAGCAATGGTTACTGGTTATTTTGGGGCAGACTATATGAAAAGGGTCCTATGAAGATAAAGAATATGAAAAATACTATTCAAGGGCATCAGTAGAGCTGTTCTGGTCTCAGTGGAATCTACCCAGAAAAATGCCACTTAGTTATGAGAGAACTCAGGCACTGAGACTTCCCCACCTGAGGTAACTGATGGCAGGAGGAAAGGGTCATACAACCTGTTTTTCTACTGCAGCACTACACCTGACTCCTACAAAGATCTCCCCTTATGTCATCAGTCATGCAAAGTATCTTTTCCCTCTTCTTCTCCCTATGACACGGGTGTCAAACTCGTGACGTCACGTGACGTGTTGCGACGTATTGCGACTTTTTCCCCCATTGCTGGCAATGGGTGGGCGTGGTTTTGGCATGATGCGTCCGGCCTGTGGGCCAGCAGTTTGACACCCCTGCCCTATGGGATGAAATTTGAAAGAGTGGGATATGAGTAGGCTACCTACCCTGCTTCAGGTCATAAATGCTATTTTGGGATACTGAATTAGTACACAGTTTCTAGAAATCTACATCATTTGCATCAAGACCAAACATACTACAAGTAAAGAAGAAATAAAACATGTCTTCAATTATTCATATCCTCAAAAGAGTCTTCCAAATAATAAAGTTTCTGGAAAAGAGACTTGTACTTCTCAACATGTCTGATCCCTCATCAAAAGGGAAAAAAGTATACATTAGTTCCACAGCTATCTGCTCATGTCTGTTTCATTAGTAGACAGAAAATGAAAACAGATGCATTTTCCCATTTTCTTTTGAGTGGGATAGGCCACAGGCTATTTAGTTCTCCTCTGAAAATCTAAGGACATTAGTTCCTTCAGAATCTTATCAGAAAACAATCCTTAATTATAAACTGCCATGAGGAAGACATACTGGCGATTGCAATTTACTGTTTTTCTAAATCACCCTTCAAGCAATTGTATTAAGGATTGTAGAACTTTCCAAGAGGTAATGGGAGAGAGAGAAGGAAGGAAGGAAGGAGGAAGGCAGGAGGGGCAGATAGATGAAGGAGAGACATGGACATGTAGCTTTGTAAGGGTAGCAAAAAAGATCAAGACAGCTGCATAGACAGTGCATAAAGAGAAAAACATAGTATTTTGTATAATTATTATATGGTGGGAAATTATATTCCCATTTAAATAAGATTTCTTCATACACAAATTAATGCTTTTATGAGCCATGAAAAATATGTGCAGTTCCTTAAATGTGGTGTACAAAATTAAAAAAATGAATATATAATTTTTAATAAATTACTTCTTTCTTTGGAGGCACTTTCAGTGAAACAAATGTCAGGGGTGTGCTCCTCCAGAAATGATATTTGTATATAAATGAAAAATAGCAATATTAGTTAATGCATGATATAAATCATTTTCAATTTTTTCCCTTGAATTCTGAAGAAAGATGAGATAAACAAATGAATGCATGTTGCATAAAAACACATACTGAAAAAAGAATTTTTTTAAAAAAACAACAGTGGAAAAATGTATGACCATAGATGCAAAATTTGTTTTTAAGCCAAATTTTCTGGAGAAAAGTTTGTTGAATAGCATAACACAACTACTGGTTGCCAGTTCCATGAAGATGTACAAAGCAGCACTTAATTAAAATGGGAAAAATTAGTAAGTTTCTTTTGCAAGTATTATTTTGCAAGACATGCTGTAGGCCTCCCATCTCTTCATGGAGCAATAATTACTGCTTCAATAAACGTAAAAATTAATTTCTGAACAATTGAACTGCTTAATTATGTAGAAGCACAACACAAAATTTAGGAATTCATCATATGGCTGTGTCAAGAGGGAACTTAAAATTAGAAACCAAATGTAAAATTGTGATCTTGAGGTTGGTATACAGAAAGTTTTATAAATAATCGATACACTCCAACTAGAAACCTGAAAAGATTTTAAATGGCATTTCATAATTCATTTGATAAATTCAGTGTTTTAGCTAAATCAATGTTTAAAAAATCTAAAAAAGTATAGCTAGGTTTATCTGCTTTGTGGCATATACTTTTCCCCCCCTTCACCTAGTTATGGTTGAGATGCTTGCCTGGGAGTTTAAGATGCAAGGAGTGTCCAATGACTTTTAAGGGTCCAGGATAAAGCTTTCAGAAAATGTTATGTTGCAAGTTTATTCAGGAAAAAATTCCAAAAGTTCAGAAAGGGTAAATGTTAAGCCGCCCTGAGTCCGTTAGGAGAAGGGCGGGGTATAAATTTGATAAATAAATAAATAAAATAAATAAATAAATAAATAAGTTAGTAAAACATACAGAAGGCTGCTTGTTCAGGATCAAACTTACTTCCCATTATGGAATAATATGAATACCAAAAAAGCTAGCCCTGCTATTGTACACCTTTATTTTCATATCTTCAAATCTATGATGGTTATTCCCTTTATTATATGTCCCATCTTTTCCTCTAAGAAAGACATCAGACTTTTAAAAATTCCTACGGGGAATATGGGAATTCTAATTCAGTCCTGCAGGAAGGAAAAGAGTTGCAATAGGGAAGAACAAAAGGCAGAGAAAGAACCAGAAAGAATTTTAAAACAACGTTAAGGATGCAAGATTTTTTTCAAAAAGTTATACACAGAGAAATAGAAAATTGTTTTTTTTTTCCCCCGTACTTCCTCCCAATTCTCAAGATAAGAAACCATGAATCCAATTATAGGTTAAAAGAAAAGGGAAAAAGAACAGGTTTGGTTAGCTTTGTGCGAGTGCCTTTGGTGGTTATTAGGAAGTCATGCATTGAATAGACTATCACTCACTGCCCGCAGGAGGAGATGCAGCAGCAGCAGCAGCAGCAGAAGTGGTGGGAGTGGAATTGACGGAGGAAAGAGCTACATGGGTTGGGCTAGAAACATTTTTTACATCGTGGTGTTGGCTCACGATGGAAGGCTGTCTCCTGAGGGCTCCCTGTAAAGAGGAGGCGCCGGTCTGGAATGTGTAAACTACGTCCATCTGCAAAGAATCAGAGAGTGAGATAGCTTTGTCCCACAATCAAAAGAGGAAAAGGAACTAGGACAGTGGAAGGGGAAGCTGACAGACAAAGGATACACATACATACCATAAGGAACAAAAGTGGAAGGGGAAAATGGAGAAACCCAGTACATCCCCCACAGTTTCAGCAGTTAATCCAAAGGGAAAGCTGTTAAGCAAAGAAATTCCAGCCTTTTTTCTTCAGTTCCCCAATTCAACCTGCTGTCTACTAGAGTTGAGCTGTCTGCATATGTGAATATGAATTTTTTTGGGAGAAAACATTTCTGCTGTGGCTCAGCTTATTTCTGTAAGAAACCCTAGGAATATATTTAGACTTTTAGGAGAATGTAACTGCATACGTGTGCCTACACCTTATTATGCAGAGTGAAGGGCAAAAGAATTTGAAACAATGGTGCTCTGCAAGTGGGATGTGGAGAAAATGTGCATGTAAGCAAAATGCTGTATGGTGCAAAAGTGCAGCATGCACATCTGGAAACATCAGTGGGATAACACATTTCTAAATGTTTGTTCTAATACAAATGTCCTTAAAAGATACCAATATCAGCCCAAAACACGCAATATAAAAGTGATGTGTGCTAAGTTTATCTCTAAGGGACAAACTCTGGGATCACAGTGGGACATTTCTTTTTAGCCAATGTTAGGAAATGAGTAATATAGTAACGAAGCAGAATTAATTGCAGCTGACCAAGTCATCCCAAAGCAGTAAAGACATATTAGCATGCAGGGGTTTCATAGTAGAAGATTTTTTTTTCCACCTTATTATTCCAGATTTTGAAAATGCAGGCATAGAAATGCTGCTGTCTTGATACAACCCCCGGTGTTCTAGGTTACTAGCAAACAGTTTTGTCTCGATTGGAAAGTAAGAAGGGAAAACATGATGTATTCTGTAGTTCAATCATGTAAGCAGTAAAAAAAGAATCCCAGCTACATTTCTTGGGGAGGATGAGAGAGAGAGAGAGAGAGATAAATATAGGCTGTTTTGGGAAAACTGCAATTCTGTAAGCTTTGGTTTTCAGATTCAAGGCTGGTTTGCATGCCATATTATTAATAACAACCACCACAACCATCCCTCTAAGATGTGAAACTTTTAGTGTTTGCCATAGCTGGCAGTGTTTTTGTCAGTGAGCATGGAATGCTCCACCAATGGACTGATCGTTTCACAAAGTGGACATGGTCACCCCTTCTTCCTCCTTATTAGCTTGATAGGGGATTTTTTTCCTATTTTTTTTTAATACCACCATCATAAGAAATTAACTCAGTTTTACAAACTCCAATTTATATCTATTTGTACCTACCATCCACAGATGAGTCTGGAATAGAAAGAGGAGGGTATATACTTCTGCATGGTTCTCCTTCCAAAGATTTTGAGCAAATCAGCTTAAAGTACTAAACCAAGCTATGTGTTCAAGCATTCTGTAGTTCTGATCTTGAAAGCATTTTGTGCACTTCAGGTCTCACAATTACCTCTGTGGGATATCTCAGGCAGAGTGTGACATGCAAATGTGACTTTGCCTTGCTAATAAAAGACAGTACCAGAGTTCAGTGAACACATGCATCCTAGGATATTTTCAGTGGATTCGTTGCCTTCATCTTCATCTTTTGCTTTTAATTTGTACCCATAATCATACATTTTGTTTTATTTTAATCATTTATTGTACAAAGACCCATTTTCAAGATGGCATACATTAAAATTCCCAGGCATAAGTACATTCAAAACAATGTTCCTTCTTTTAGGACCTAGTTTTCTACTCCGGAGATAAACTCCTACAACAGTGTTTCTCAACCGTGGCAACTTTAAGATGCGTGGACTTCAATTCCCTAGCCAGCCATGGAGAATTCTGGGAGTTGAAGTCCACGCATCTTAAAGTTGCCACGGTTGAGAAACAGTGTCCTATAGTAATGAATGGCATATTCTCTTCAGAATCCTTTGGCTGGGGCAGCTTTAACAAATCCTAATAATAATAATAATAATGACAAACTATAATATTTATCAAGGAGAAGAGAATGCTAACATTAATTTAGCTTTTGGGATTTTGCTCACAAAACTCAGTGCTTCTCAATCCTCAAACTGCCCTCTTTTCCCTGCTTCTTATTGTTTATTATACCAGTAATCTCTTCTAGGTAGTGGAACTATGTAGTCCTAGAACATCCTTTGGCAGGGAGAAACAGGAACAAAAGCTTCCTTTCTAAAATTTGAAGGCTGGATAATGGCTGAGCAAAAAAATCTAAGCAGCATATTGCCTTTATTGTCAGCCTTGCATTAGCATCTCATAAAAACTAGCATGGCTGCATACCCTTCTCCTCACATTTGCTTATCTCAGAATAGATCTGTTGTGAGGCAAGTTTAGGGAGAACTTTCCCCAATGCAAGGATGGAGTCCTAGAAGTACTCCTCAGCTGAATGCATCCAGTTAGCTCCAGCTGCACAAAAGTTGCTAGTTTAAACATATGGCTAATTGATCTCAATAGCTTCAGCAACAGGGTTGTCATATTCTTCCAATATGTGTCCTTAGACAGGTCTTGCTTAAGCAAAGCAATAGCACTACTACAAGCTGCACTGCATAAGAGAGAACAAATTGGTGCCATACCTGAGTCTGTATTCTGTTCAGACCACGGAACCACAGGATCTGTCCACGTCGAAGCTCCATTTCAGCATGGTCAATTTCATCTAGGCCTTCAGGCAACTCATCTTCTGGAATATCTTCTTTGGTAATCCCATGACCAGCTTCTTTCAGGAACTTCAGTTGACTTGTTGGAACAGTGCTGATCAACTATAGAAATGGAATGCTCAGAATTAATTCTTCTGAATTATTCTGTGGCTGGTTTGATTTATTGCTCAGTAAGCCTGAATATCTAGTCAGGTGATTATTCCCAACAGTTCTGTGCATTTGCAACATGCCATCCTCAGTTTGATTAGCACCATTACATTTTTTTATTTACTTTCTAAATCATTTCTAGTCTGCCTTTTGGACTGATTCAGGCTTTCCCATGAAATAGCAAACTGGCTAAAAGGCTGTTCCATGTGTATTTGTTTCTGTAAAGAATTTCAGCTTCAAAAGAAAGACAAATGTAAAGGCTAAGAAGAAAAATAAACATTTTTCTCAAGAGAAATGAAGGAAGTATTCGGGTGATAAATAAAAGCAAACTATGTTTTCATATTGAGAATCTAATAGCATATGATTTTCCAGAATTACTGGTGAATTTATTCTCAGCTGAAAAACTCCCCCTTGGGGCTCAATTGGAATATTTGAGGATATGAATCATTTCACATATTTATACAAAATAACTCCAATTTTATCTTGTAAGTAACAGATAGCTTGGAACAGCTATCCTTCAATTTTTATACAACTTCTAATTCTGTGATACACTTCTCAACTTTAAAAAAATATGCCACAAAGCATTAAAATTGTATTTTAACATAAAATATGTACAGGAAGTTATGACTAAAATGAAAATGGTACTCAGTTACAATCTCACATTGAATTTAGTTATGTTGGCAACTTAATTGATAATATTGTTACTTAAGCAGTTAAAGGAGCATTTGCAGAGAAATGAGATTGGCAACAACTGAACAATATGTGGGAACAAAACTAGTTGTTTAAATAAATGTGGAATGTTCACTTTCTTACCTGTCCCCAAAGCAGCTCTCCTACACCAATGAAAATACACCAAAACCACTGACTCAAAGTAAGCCCAGAGCAACTAAATGGTTTACCACCAAACTCCACAATAATAATCTGAAATATTGGAAGAAAAAGAGAACAATGGGGAAAATATCAGTAAAGAGGAATCGGACCAATCAGTTATATCCTGGTACAGTGTATTCTTTATGCAATTTAAAAACAGTACTAGCCTAATCTTTCACAATCCGTTGTCCTTCAGTTCTGTTGGACTGTAAACTCCCTATATTCCCAGCCAGTTGACTTTAGAAATGGAAAATTGCAGTATATCCAGCAAAACCAGGTTGGCTATAAGACTGGTGTAGGCAAACCACTATCCAAAGCAGTAAGCTGAAATGCATATAATGAAATTGAGCCTGACAATTCTAGTGGGTGAATGGTAGAACCTATTTATAGAAAAGAATTTAAATGAAAGAAAACATCTGCATAAGCCTGTCTGCTGACTCTAAAAATCGCAAGCCTTCAGTCAATATTGTTAACCGAAACAGATGAAAACATGGCTACCATCCAGAACTTCAAATGAAGTTATGAGAGGAAAGGGAACATAAATTTACATTCATAGGGATGAGATAATTTTTGGGACTCTATTTGTTGACAGACAGACTCTTCTAATAAATACTACCACCAAGTGGGATGGAGGTTTTCTCAACTGACTGAGCTCAGAAATAAAATCCTTTTCATGTAAGAAAAAAATGCAATATACCACCAGATTAAGTAATAACAAATACATAAAGAAGCAAAAACTGTTAGAAAATTCAGGCATACCAAAGTTATAAATTGGAAGTTCATCTTATAGGAATATTTGCTAGAAATAACATTTAGCTCTTAGGCTGCATCCTAAGAAGCAAAGTTATTAACACTATAACTAATCAATGTGTGGTCAACAGGAGGATTAGTGTCCTTCACATCCAGACTAAACCATGAAAGTGGAAGTAGCAGATCTACTCAGGGAATTTATTGTAATGACTTTCAGTAGAGAATGAATTAGCCCAGGTCTGATGAACCAAATGAATTCTATTTCTGATCCAAAGCTACTGTGATTATCTCTACCATAGTCATGAACAAAAAAAAACAACCAAAATTTTTTCCCATTCTCCTGAACTTAAGATTTTTTTTAAAAAAAAGTTTTCCTTTTCTGCTTTAAATTATTTTTTCCCCTCACACCAGCCCACTACTTTGACCCAGCATTTTAAGAGGAAACTTTCAAACACAATCAAGACAGTTGCATATTTTCATTACACATAAATGGAGTACTATACAGTTTTGGTCCATCCAATAAGATGTAGAAGAGAAGGTTATTTTCATGAAGGATTAGCCTTTCTAATACCCAAAGGGATGAATCTTCTCAGTCCTGCTGCCACTTGTTTAGAACATGTTAGACTGGCTCCCATCCTGTTTATTTTTCAAAAAGCCACCAAAATGTGGCTTTTCCTAAGACCATACACTGTAAGTCAGTGTTTCTCAACTGTGGCAACTTCAAAATGTGTAGACCTCAACTCCAAGAATTCCCAAACCAGCCTTGCTTAAAGTTGTCAAGGTTAAAAATACACTACTCTAAGTGCTACAATTGTAAGGATATTATTAGCCTTGGAAAGGGGCATGATATTCAATAAACATTACCATTTGGAGTATGTTTAGTGGGAGAATGACAGACAAATTTTCCATTTCACAATCTCTACTTTCCTGCAATCCCACCCAAGCCCATTTCATTTACCTGAGCAACAAAGGTTCCTAGCACCACTGTACAGAAGATTGGATTCCGGAAGATGGCCTCAAATACGTTCCTTTCCCCATGAATTTTGCGAGCATTGATTTCATTGAACAGTTGCATCATGACGAAGGTGTTGAAGACAATTGTGTAATGCTCAGTGGGTGGGGAGTGGAGGGGGACATTCCGGCCACTGTCAATATCAAAAAATATTTCACCTGTAGGAAAAGAGTTTGAACAGTACATGAACATATTGTTTCCATCAATAGATATCCTTTACAATAGCATTACACATTAAAATATGGCACATATACACACTGGAACAGAAGTTGTAGCAAGTGTCTTGTAGTCCATGACCCTGAAAGGTATAATTTACATCATCAAGCAATTTTTAAAAATATTTTTAAATTAAAGCTTAAAAATACAAAGATTAAAAAACTGATTTTACAACCTTTTTGCATGGTTGTTAAGCAAATTACCATGGTGATTAAGTGAATCAGCCAGTTGTTAAATGAATCTAGCTCCCCCCATGGACTTTGCTTGTTGGAAACCAGCTGGGAAAGTCATAAATGGTGATAAGATAA